AACGTCCATGCTCTTCGCTTTAATAACATTGTTGTTCATACTTTTCTAAAATCAAATATAACTCGACTCATTTATTGGGAAATAAATGCATTGATCTGATATAGCCACGCAACTCATACATCATCAAAATAGGATGTATTTTGCTCATTGAATATATTAGAAGGTCTGATGTTATGACCTTCTTCTATTTCATTTTCAGACTTAAAGAAAATGTACGCGCATACACATATCTTTTATCACACGTCACACTCTACACTTCAAAAAAATACATGCCGATATCAAAGAAAGAGAAAACGAAAAGAAAAAAGAATACACTACGTGGGTTATCTTCTAACAGAATACAAAAACAACAACTATGAACTTTTGTTATGTAAAAATAAACGAATAACGAACAAAAATTTGCGAGATGCAACTAATTCTGCATAGGAAAATGTGGCTCTTTTAATTTTAAAATCTGTTTTACAAGAATAAAATTCGAAACACTTGCTTGCTTTGATTTCTCAGAAAATAGCTTACTTTTTGAAAAGGGATCAACAGCTTCTTTTTTTTCTCCTTCTCCTAACATTCTAAAGCTATTTTTTTTTCTGATTCAGCACATAAAGCTGACTATAAAACCTCAACTTAAGTTGCATATTTATATTATCTCTTCCGTAGTAAGGATATGCTTTCATTTGTCAATAAGTGATTTTTTCTTCTGTTAAAATCAAATATTTGTTCAAATTCAAAAAAACTATTTGACTTGCTGAGATTCATAAATCATTTGTGATGTATGTCTTTTTCGTACAATTTCTAATTGTCAAGTTGTTTAACAAGTATTGATTCATTTTCTATTCAATAATAAAGAAAGCTAACATTATTTCAACAGTTTTACATAGTCTACTGTGATTTCTCGATTAAAATTAAATATTCGGTCGATTCATTTTTTGTTTCTTCTTGAAAGTACCCGAAAAAGAAACGATGAAAGCGATTGTAATTTTTTCTTTTTTCTCAATAGTTGAAAATTACACGATGTTAGGCAACTTACCAACAACAACACAGAAATACTTATAGTTGAGAGATAATTACTAGACTTGTGCCCAATAAATAATAAGCAGAAGATTGTTGATTCAATGTTTACGGTCGACTGCTTTTTTCCTCAGTAGTCATGATTTTTTATTTAATGAAACCATACATATATGTGACTTTTTGCTTTTGTTATTCAACATAAATGTTTTTTATCTTATATAATAGTTTTCTTTTTTCTAAAGAAAAAAACAAAACAATGGACTTTAAAATTTTTTGTTTTAGTGATTATGACATTGAAAATTAGTAAATAAAATGAGTGCATATCGACAAATTCGTTTAGTTTTATGGAAAAACTTCACCATTCGACGAAGGCGATGGGTTTGTTGAAAATGTCATGATTGAAAAGAAATTTCTATTTTTATTTTTTTAAACTTAGCCTCGTGCAATCTTTGAATTAATTTGGCCGTTATTTTTATTTCTTATTCTTATGTGGATACGTGCACGAAATTTAGTATTTTATTATGATGCTTGTGAATATATCGTCATTGAAAGAAAAAAAGCAAAATAATCTCTGTTTTAGGCCATAACGACGTAAAATACCTTGGATCAACTGGTTTTTTACCAGCATTACAAACATATATTTGTCGATGGAACAATACATGTCATAATTATACCAATCCAAATGGTCAATTTAATACATTATATAATGATACATCGTTTGTATTTTTATATTGCTATTTTGTGAAACATGATTTAAGCGAAGTGTTGAAATCGAGGGGAAACCAACTGAGATTTCAGACTTGGCGTCTTATGAGGTCTTTTGAAGTTCGCTGTTTTCCATCAGTTGAAGTGCATCGGGTGCAGATTTTCTTTGCCCCCCCCCCTCCCCCGAGTCCGTGAGGATAGGTGTGTGACAGTTCTCGACTGAAAAGAGCTGATCAGTCAAGTCGACCAGTTCTTTTGAGCATGCATTTTGATAGCCTGAATCATTAATTGATTATTAATTAACTACTCATTGATGACCGATGAGTACTTATGAGTAACTAATAATTAATTAGTTATAGCAATGTCACATATCTAGGAGATCGGGGATGCTAAAGAAGTGTAGGGAGATCTGGGAGATGTCGCATATCCCTGCACTTCTTCGGCATCTCCGATTTTCTTGATAATATGACACATCTCATAAGTTAATGACGAGTTTGACCAGCTCTGAGAACTGAATTGGAACTATCCCACACCTTCTGGAGAATCAAACGAATGATTGGTGAAGAAATATGATCGAAGATATATCGAATAAAACAATTTCTATGTGATTAGCAACAACACCTACGTCGTGTTTCATACATTAATCCTGTAAAGATTTCCTTAACAACTGGTTTTTTTTTTCTTCTTTGAAGTTTATGGAATCAATTTTCAATTTTCATTGATGATTTTCTAATAATATTAAAAAATGAACAATTACTAAGAAATATAACTGACACTCTATCTCAAGTAAACAACATAGTTACTTTTACAACTGCTTGGAATGGTAAGTAATCTATAAGAAAATGAAAATTTCTATTGATATTTATTGTGTTTTTTCAAAGGAGCTATTGTAGCAAATATAACAATAAATGATTTTAATCAATCAATACCAATAACAATTATGACTATACTTTTTTCAAATCCTGTTAATGTATCTAATCTTCATCAACCATGGTTCATTAATAGAACTAATTCATTATCGAATATAAATGTTGCTGCTGAAATATTTTTTGCATCTTTACAAACAAATTATGCTTACGTAAATAAATATTGCTTTTTTTTTTTTATCTTTTATTATGTTAAGAAATAAATATATATTTTGTTTAGTCTTATCAATCAGACACAAATATAAAACAATCATTTTGTATTGATGGACAATTTAATCAAACATTTTTAATTCATGAAATACAATCGATTGAAGCAAATGATTTTTTATGTAATAATCTATCAACAATTGATTTAAAAAATTTTTTAATTACTGTACAACAACAACTTGATAAACAATTTTTAGTAAAAAAATTTTCAATATAAATTTATTTTTTTCAATTGTACGTTTTTATTTAGATTAATCTGGAATCGTATATACAGAGTACTGTTCTTAATGTTGTACAGGTAAGAATTTTAATCAATTGAATTCTGTCGATATGTTGATTGATTAAGATGATACAAATCATTCAAAGCATAGCATCTCAATTAGATTTATTCAATAATGGATTTTCACTTACAGAAATTAACGCTAGTTTAAGGTAAGTTATTTTTAATAGAAAGAAAAAAAGACAGCAAGACTTTTAAATTCAATATAATTCTATTAAAATATTTTTATAATCGTGACAAAGGAAAACAACAGAGACTTCGGTCGTGAAGTTTTTCTCAATAGTGTTTCTAATGATAGGATTTCATATACAATAATTTCTATGTTTTCTAGGTATTTTCACAAAGAATTATCTTTTTAATATAATTGATTAGAGGTCTACAAAAAAATTAATTTATCCTGTTTTACTTTTATGCTATGGAAACTGTGAATATTTCCATATTTGTTACACTTTAGTTCCTTTCGTCCTTTTAGAATGTAGGTGTAAATTAGGATGTGGATGTTGTTGAAGTAAGAATATTCAATGGGACTAAAGGTGATAGTAACTTTGACGGCATAGAAGTAAAACGGAATAAATTTAATTTTTCATGAGCTTCTCAAATAAAAAAATAGAAAGTAAATTTATTTTAGTTTAGCATTATTATGTGGTGGACGTAATGATCTTACAATTTTTTTTCCTTCAACTTCATCTGGAAATAATAGTTCATTGAATAATTCAACAACAAAAGATAGTCGTTCAGAAGAAGCTTCATCAAAAGCTGATGCAACCATTAATATTGATTGGAATAATTTAGCATTAAAGTTACTTAATTATAAGGCATCCGATATTTGTCAACAATCATATCAAGTTGGTTCTGGTAATGCTAAAAACAATGTGTCCGTTAATCGAGCATGTCGTTGTGTTTTATTTAATGAAGTATTTAATTCCAATGAACAATTAGAACTACTTAATCATGTTATACGTCCATTACTATATGGAAAAATATATTATTATCCATCAAATATTTATTATGATAATTTAATCAAACAAATTAATCAAACATTTGAATCATTAGATGAATTAGTAAAATTATTTCGTCAAATACAATCAACTATACAAATAACATATCAAAATTTTTTAATAATATGTAATTTAGCATCGAATTCATTTAGTATTTGTCAACAATTAAATTTTGATACAACACCATTATCTTTATTTACAATATTAACAGAATTTATAGCTTGTGCAGATAGAAATCGTTTTGTTCCAATGACAAGTGAATCAAATATGATAGAAGAAGGACAAAGTAATGCATTAACAGATAGATTTCTAGCTGGAATTGTATTTCTTAATAAAATATCAAATAATGATGGTTTACCAAAACATATTCAATATAAAATACGAATGACACTTGATAAGGTTGATACTACAATGCAAACTCGTGATGAGTAAGATAAAATTTTAAAAAAACAAAAATTCGATTTAAATATTGATTTTTCTATAGTTATTTTGCATATTCACCTCGTCATTCGGTACCATTAAAAACAAAATATCATACTTATACATTTATTTATTTACAAAATGCTCTTGATCGTGCTATTATTCATGCACAAACAGGATTAAATCTATCATATGGTGTACAAACACAACAAATGCCTTATCCATGTTGGATGGATGATACGTATGTTATTAGTTTTTAATAGTTAAAATATATGTTTCTGTTTAGATTTGCTAAAATACTTAGACAAATGTTACCATTATTTATGGTATTAAGTTGGATATTTACTGTATCAATGACTGTTAAGGATATTGTTTATGAAAAAGAAAAGTAAGAAAAAAAATCAAATTATCAAAATTAATTTTTAATTATTTATATTTAATTAGACGATTAAAAGAAATAATGAGAATTATGGGTTTATATGATTCTGTTCATTGGTTTACATGGTTTATTTTATGTGCTCTTATTATGGTAATACCAGCTACATTACTTGCCATTATTCTCAAAGTAAATAGATCGATTTCGTTTTTCGGAAATAATTAGAGATGTGCAGAAGAAACTTTCCTTATATTCTCTACCCTAACAGATTTTCAATAACATTGTTTACCGAAGAACTTACGAGGGAACATATTTAGGTGTTCAAGCCGTTTAGATCCCATCTTTTGGCGATAGATAGATCTCGATGAGGTATGAAAAACCCCAAAAGGATAAGTGCCATTAGGCCTTCTGCTCAGAGTTATAGGCATTTTACTGGAATTTCAGCCTCAGGGATGGTATATAAGAGCGAATGAAATGATCGTATTTCTACTTGAGATTGTGCCCACATACAGGTCTTTTTTTGAGTAAGGGTCTCTGAAAATTTCAGCTCAAAACAATGTTTGCTTCCCGAGATATAAAAGTCCCAAAAATCACTCATATCCCACAAAGAATGCTGGAATTTTCCGTTTTTTGGGACTTTTATATCTCGAGAAGCAAACATTGTTTTGAGCTGAAATTTTCAGAGACCCTTACTCAAAAAAAGACCTGTATGTGGGCACAATCTCAAGTAGAAATACCATCATTTGATTCGTTGGTATATACCATCCCTGAGGCTGAAATTCCAGTAAAAAGCCTATAACTCTGAGCAGAAGGCCTAAGGGCACTTATCCTTTTGGGGTTTTTCATACCTCATCGAGATCTATCTATCGCCAAAAGATGGGATCTAAACGGCTTGAACACCTATATATGTTCCCTCGTTAGTCTAGGATGAGATATAACATATAAAATTGTTCTATGAGATGAATTCTTCTAGTCTATTCTATTCGATAGGATAGGTCTGAGGAAATTTCTGTAAATATCTCACAATAATAATATTATTTGATGTTGAACGTTATTTAATATTAAAGAAAATTTCGAAAAGAAATCAAATAAAATGTTCATTTAATTTTTATTATCTTGGAGGAGCTTGAAGAAATTTGTGTTCTTTCTAAATAGAAGTTCAAAGATTTTGTAGAACTTCTCCGTTAGACATTACAAAATTTTCTGAGTACGTGACACTGCGCTAATTCAAGTAATTTTCTCGATTTCTATGGAAAACAGACTTGCAAAATGAACTCAACAATTTTTGAATAATTGTTATATTACTTTGTATAGAACAATTTTGTCTTTAATTCTAGGTTTAAAAAATCGACAATATAACGTATACAGTAAAGGAGACCATTGTTATGAAATAGAAAGATGAATTATTTCCGTTGAAACTTAATTTTTTGCGTGTCTGAAAACTCGACTCATGACTTGTAAACCACCAAAAGTTCTAGAGAAACTTTGATTCCAATCCAATGTTTTCAAAATTCTCCAGACACTTTTAAGAAACTGAAAAGTGAATGAATATTTTGTTTAATTACTTTTTGATCACTCGTTATTTGACTTTTGTGCCAATATTGATGACCTACAACAGAATCGTTCTAAAACCATACTGAGCCTTGCATACAGTTATTATTATAACTGTCGAATAAAAGTCTTTATCTATTGAAATAAGAAAAGAAATATGTAATCATACCCATATTATTCTATTTTCTTATTTAGTTTGGAAAAATAACTCAATTTTCAAATTTTCTTATAATATTTATTCTCTTTATTTGTTATACATTGGCAACAATCAATCAATGTTTTTTTATAAGTGTTTTTTTCAATCGAGCTAATTTAGCTGCTTGTGGTATATATATTTTATAATATTTAAAATATATATTTTCATATTTATATTAGGTGCCGGAATTATTTATTTTGTTCTTTATTTACCTTATATACTTTTAATTAATTTTGGTAGTCAAACATTAATATGGCATAAAATGATTGCAGTAAAAATTTGTAACTGACAAAAGAAATTAAATACTAAATTTTATTTCTAGTGTCTATCATCAACAGTTGCATTTGGACTTGGTTGTGATTATATAATTCGATTTGAAGGTATGGCTCAAGGTATTCAATGGAGCAATATAAAAAAAGGTGCACAACCAAATGATAATTTTTCATTTCTCTATTGTATGATTATGATGATTGTCGATTCCATTCTTTATATGTTATTAACTATTTACATTGAAAATGTATTTCCCGGTAATATAGAAAATTAGGAAAAAAAAAAAGAAACATAAAGTGTTCTATTCAATTCTTTGTTAGGTGAATATGGTATTCCTCAACCATGGTATTATCCATTGACAAAAACATATTGGTTTGGTTATGATGTTAAAAAGAATCGTCAACGTACAAATGAAATCAATCAAAATCAAATCAATACAAATACGAATAGTAATAACAGAAGTTTTCAATAAAAAATTAATATTTTTATTTTAATAGTTGAAAGCAATGATAATGATAATATTCATCAAGAAGATATTGGTGTTGATATACAAAATTTATCGAAATATTATCGAAATAAAATAGCCTTAAAAAATTTATCTGTAAAATTTTATCGAAATATGATAACATCATTTCTTGGACGAAATGGTGCTGGTAAAAGTACAACATGGTCTATATTAACTGGTTTACTTCCACCATCAAGTGGTACTGCATTTATTGATGGTTATAATATAATAACTGATATTAAAATTATACGAAAACGATTAGGTTTTGTACCACAATATAATATTTTATTTGATCGTTTAACAGTTAAAGAACATTTAGAATTTTTTTCGGCGTATGTAAATACTAAATTTACTTATTTTAAAGAAAAAATGAAAATATTTTATTCATTTATCTAGATTAAAAGATTCACCACCAAAATTAATTGAAGATGAAACAAAAAAAATGCTTGAAGATTTAGGATTAGAAAATAAATCAAAAAATTATTCAACTCAATTATCTGGTGGAATGAAAAGAAAACTTTCGATTGCTATTGCATTTATCGGAAATTCTACAACAGTTATTTTAGATGAACCAACAGCAGGTATATCTAGATATATTGAATTTGATTGAAAGCCTTGAGAAAATCTAATGTAGATCTTCATCGTAGGATGTGATTGTGGATATGGATGAAAGTCGTATCCACATCCATAAAATATTAATTATTAAAAGAGATAATTTCATAGAATAAATTTCATGTTTAGGTGTTGATCCATTCGCTCGACGAGCTATATGGGATCTTATACTTAAATATAAACTTGGTCGTACAATTGTATTATCAACTCATCATCTTGATGAAGCTGAATTATTGAGTGATCGTTTAGCAATAATTTCATCCGGTGAATTAAAGTGTATTGGTACAACAATGGATTTAAAACATAAATATGGTGAAGGTTATAATTTAATTGTTGAATTAACATCAATATCAGATGAAAATGAGCTTAGAAAACAACAACAGTTGGCAGTAATTATTCATATTTCTAATTTTACGTATTGTTAATTAGAGAGAATTACGAGTCGTTCCAAATTCAGATCGAGTTCGTGTCTAAACTTTTAGCTTTTGTAGAGTTTAGATTCAATCTCAAACTCGAGTTGTATTCATCTTCGAGTATGAATAGAACAGAACTAATGTTAACTTAACCAGGTACAGTGTTTTTAACCCTTTACCCCCGGATGTCCACTACAGTGGACATTAGAAAAACAGTTGTAAAAAATTAACGAAGCACGAGATCCAGAAACTGTAAGAACACTTTTTGTAGTAAATTTTATGGGCTATNCCCATCATGCCCTGCGCCTTGAAATGCTCTTTCAAGCAAAAAAAAGAAATTAATACATTGAACGAATCGGGAAGGAGAAATTTGGGATGCGCTTTTGAGCTATCGTGAATCGAGAAAAAACGGAAAACTTTTTTTGATTTTTCAAAAAACAGCTGGTTTTTCGAATAGGGGGTGCCGAAAATCTTTGAAAATTTTGGTCAAAAAGGAGGTATCGGAGAAAACTTTTTATCAGGTATGAAAGAGCAGAACTCGGGCTATCTTTCCATGTATTTATCTTAGTTTTGATGATTCTGACGAAAATTGACTTTTTTCAAGGAGAAGGGCCTTAATATACTCGACACTGCAATCATTCTCCCTCATGTTGGTATTATTTATTCGATATGAGTCAGATCGCAAAATGGGGCTCTCGGCCGTAACTTTTCTTTCCACGTAAAAAAAAGTAAAACAAAAAAAAAATCTGATTCTAATCAATTCAAATTATATTAATAGCATATGATAAAAATCTAATTTTTCAACCTTGAAGATAGTTTTCATTTGATTACAATCTTTCATGATTGATTATTCACAAAACAAAACTAAAATCAATTAAAATCTATCTTTAAAACTAAAAAAAAAGAAATCCAAATTAAATAATAGCATGATTTTAATCAACTTTTATTCTAATTCTTTGTACAATTAATTTTTCCATCTTGTAAACGATAAAAGTCAAGAAACTTAATTATAAAAACATTTTTAAAGTTTCATCTACTCAATAAATCAAAGCAGAGTGCATTTATTCGATTCAATGACATAACTCATCCATAAACAAGGTCAAATACGCTATTAACAATATTAAGTTATATCATGATTAACGATATGAAACAATATTAACTGTATAACTATAAATAGTAACCGGTTTGATTTTGTACAATTAATTAGCAGATATTTTAATCATAAAAGTTTATATTAATAACTAATATTCTGCAAAAAATTTAACGTATCGATCGTACTCTTTCACTTCAATTAATCATTCAACTTGTGTTTCATGCTGTTTATTCAAGCATTAAATATTTTGTGACCTTACTCAACTCTCAATCACTATGATAATAACCTTTGTATAATGTGCTAATAAGTAACTGGACTGTAATCGAGTAGAAATATATACTTTGAATAGTATCATCCTAAACTGAACGGACTTGGCGGGTACTATAAATTGGTCGAATGGACCGAGAATGAATAGAATAAAAGTCCGAACAGGAAATATTTGAGATCTGGTACGGAGGACCATCAAAAAGTATCCCCATGTGTTGTAATTCTGTTAAATTTTACCTGGAATGATCTTCATTATAAATTCTTTTTAATTCCCGTATATGTAAATTTCTTTCTCGTTCAAGTTTTTCATATTCAATTTGAAGATCGACTTCTTCTTTTTTCAATGATGCTTGGCGTAGACGTAAAATTTCATCAGATTCATACCAATCACTTATTATTATTCTATAAAAACAAATGAATTAAAAAAACAAAAAAAAATAATTAAAAATGTTTTGTTTTTGTTCAAAAACTTACGCTCTATTTGCATCACTTGTTAGTTTAATTCCATCATTACTACTTTCATCAGTTGTTACTATTGTATTACCACGATCTTTACTTTTTGCTCTTGTATAAGATGTTTTGGTTAATTTTTCTTTCACTTCATAATTCGGTCGACGACGTAATAAATTACGACGTTCACGATCGAGTTCTTCTCGTGCACGTTGAAGCGTTTCTTGTTGTCTAATAACAATATATATCAGAATTATACTTGTGCAATTTAATTTCATAAAAAAAAAGACATACCTTGTGATATCAGTAAATGCTGTACCATCAGTCCAATTTTCTACAAATGTTGCACCTTGTCTTTGTGTAACAAATTGACCAAGTCTTAAACGATTTTCCATACATTTTTGTCGTGCTTGTTTACGTTCGAGTGTGGACTAGAATGAAGAAAAGAAAAACATATTAAGAAATTTTTTATAATATATTCAAGTTGAACAGTATTAAATAGGAGATATTATCTTATCTTTACAACCCCTCAAATCCTAATAAAAGTAAAGAAAACGAGATTCTAATACTTCTTTTTGATTACAACAATAAACGAAATATCATGACTAATAAACTGATGTTAAATGTTGGAAATTCATTTAAAACTATAACTTTCGGGCGAGAAACGACTCAAATTGTAACTCGTTGTTTCAGCTCACAAGAATTCGTGCCTATCAACGTCTAGAGCTGAGTTATGACCGTTGTACTAAATTTTCGATTATAGATCAGTGTCATGACAGTTAGAATATCCTGAAAGTTCGAACCGAACAAAACATTCTTTCATCAAAATATTGAATTTCTAAGTAAACTAAATCTTTGTGACAAGTGATTATTTCTTGGAAATTCAATATCTTGACAATGGAATATTCTAAGGGCCATTAGGTTTATTTATGGAGTTCATGTCAGATCAGAAATTTATTAAAACGATCATTTTAGAATTCTTTCTAGTTTTATCGAGATTTTCTTATAAGCTCAAACGACGAGCTACAAATCGGATAGTTTTTTCATTAGGAATAGATTTTTTAATTTCAATGACCTTTTTTGCTATGAGAAAACTCGCCATGATGTTTCAGTAATATGAAAATGTCCTAATAATTTTGTAATCATTTGATCTTTCATAGTCTTCATCTTGAACGAAATTGTTTCGTTCTTATCTATTCGAAAATGTCTTTTACGTTTAAAAAAAAAACCAATAGAAGTATTAAACTTTATAAATCTTTTTTACAATTCTTAAGATGAAATTAAAGATTAAATTTTGAATTATGTTCATACTTTTTCTACAAGTAATTTCTTATTAACAGCAAGACATTTTTGCAGTACATTTGTTTGTTTATCAAAATCTTTTTTTGAATCGGTTAATTGTCGTCGTACATCATCTCGTTCCTTGATGAAAAAAATAAAATAAAATTCAATTTCTTATTTTTGTTTTTTTACTCTTGTTAATGTTTGTATTTGACTGTTCTTAGCTACAAGTTCATTTGACGTTGAATTTATTGCTCCACTAATATCGGTCTAAACGAATAAGAAAGTTTAAGAAAACAAAAAAAAAATCGAAAACAAAAAATAATGTACCTGTGTTTGTTTTGAATTTGCGGCTGAATTATTTGATGATTCAGATGTATGATTTGAATTTGAACCAGAATCACTTTGTGCAGATGAAACAGGTGAAAAACCAATTTCACGATAATTTGAAGAATTCTTGAAAAACAAAAAAAAAAATAAAATCGAACTTTTTTTTTGTTTAGACATGAAAACAAAAAATTATTTTACTTTAGTTAGAAATACTTCTGGATTTAAACTAATCTTTTTTTCCATTGTTATTGGTGGTTGTAATTCCGTTAATGTTAATTGTTTTTGATTCATAGTCATTTCACTTTTACGTCGTTTTACTTTTTGTCCATCATTATTATCATCGATTTTTGGTGTTCGTTTTCGTCGCGGTTTATCGATTGTTGATGAAAATTTTTTTAATGAATTTGTCGGGCAAGGTTTTGTCGGATTTTGATTTGATGTTGATACTGTTGTTGTTGTTGTTGTTGTACCGAACAAACGAAATGATGATATTGTTATTGGATGATAATCAATTTCATCTGGATCTATTGGACTTGAAGTTTTTGGAATTATTCCTAAACCATTATTTGATGGTGATGCACGATTATTACTGTTATCTATTGAATCACTACGTTGAGGAAATAATTTAAATGTTGGAAAATTATTATCTAATGGAAGGACATTTTGACCTAGACACATATATAGGTAAATATAGAAAAAAAATAATTAATAATCGATATTCTTTTTTTATTAAGTTATTTTTTTTTCATACCACGAGAATTAAATTGATTTTCGGATGGTTTCGATACGAGATTCATTCTATAAAATAATTATTATTGTTTGTAAATAAATAAAAAACTCATATCTAGAAATGACAAAAGAAACAAAATAGCTTTTTCTTTTTTTTACTTATCGATAGAGGTCATACATTGTATTTTGTATATATTTATATATATATATGATCAATTGAAATGTAAAAGGAAGTGAAATATATTATATACCAAAACTAAAGATCTTTATCTTGATTAGGCTTTTGTTTTCAATAAATATAAATATATATATTTCAAAATTTCCGGTTATATACATAATAATTTATTATCTATGCTGTTTCCTTCATTCTTCGTTATACTTTTTCTTGTTGATGTAATAATTAATTTTAAAATTAAAATAAATAGAAATAATATTGAATAAATTTTAACTATTGATGGAAATATTTCATAATGACAAACGAAATTCTCAAGAAAAAAAAAAACATAAAAAAAAAACAAAAAAAAACAAATCATCATGGTGGACAATTAGTAGCATCGCCAGTGCGTGCGAGACTCGAGCGATCGATTGTTAAAACAGCTCGTTCTTACATAATTTATTTGTTAAAGAAATAACCAATGAAAATTTTTCGGTATCGAATAAAAAGAGGACACCATTTAACCATTTAATGATAATTGAAGAACAAAAAAAAAGAAGAAGAAGATTCAATATGATTAAACAATCAAATATAAGTTTTGATTTAGAATTAAAAACAAATTTAATGAAAAAAGATAATTCAACTAAAACTAAAAATCAATCAATTGAAAAAAATTATATTTGTCAACGATATGCAGCAAGGTAGATTAAAATGTAAATTAAATGATTAAAAAAAAAGAGATGAGCGCGCAATTAATTAGTTATTTTTTTCTTAAAGTTTATCGAAATTTTATTTCAAATGTACTCAAACTCACATTATTACGAATTGAAAATTAAGAATGGTTAACACGAAAATAGGGTTAGAAAAACATCAGTTACTAGGTCAATGCGAGCCATATTTGTTATTCTGCATATTATTGGTAATTCATATAGGAGAATAACCCTGTTTTCAAGTACAGTGAAGAAACGAAATAAAGGGGTACAATAATAATGTCACGGTTACATTATAAGAATATAGCCTTTCACTTACTATATATATATATTTGGCTTGATATTCGCCAACGTATGAAAAAAAGGATATACAATGTGGCTCGTAATGAATCACTAAGACTCACTGTGCTTTGACACGTATTTATATATTTCTATGAGGATTACAAGAATGTTGCTTTTCAGATAGTTCGTTGATGGTACGTACTTTTGTGAGTGTTCAGAAGGCTGACGGTGAAGGTAAGAATAATGCCTCCATCTAATTGCAGCATGTATTTTATTGTTTTTTAAACTGGTTGGAGCTTTAAAAAAGTTCTGTTGGAGAGAAAATATCGTGAGAGCATCTGTTACTGGAGAGAAGAAGTATTACGGAAGTAGCAGTCATGTGTTTGATTATTGACAAAGTTTATATCGAAGGTGTTTTACACGAAAGAAATGAAATCTATGCATGTTCTCTTGTATCAAGGACATATATAATATAAGAGAAATATTAGTGCTTTGATGAGTGAATGAATAATTTCTTTCTTTTTCTATTTCGTTTATACATTAGTACATGAATATGGCTTTTCCTGCGGAAGTTGATAGCTTTAATTAGACATGAATCATTTTTTTTTATTCTAGTTTTTTAAAGACTGAAATAATAATTTTAAGAAAATTATCAAACATAATTAAATATGTGTCGTCTTATAATTCATGTGAGTGAATAAAATGTTCTTACGAACGTATCTCTATTACACTAGTATACAAGAACTTTGTACTAAGATTTTTTAAGAGAGAACAACATCTCAGTGTAGTAAATCTTGTCGTATAAAAATTCACTAAATTTTGCAAAGTCTTTGATTTTTTATTTAGATTTTTAGTTATCTTATAATGCCAATACCATATTGGCATTTTGAAATATCTATAGATTTTATCTAGATTGTAAACTAGACGGCAAGGATGAACGGACTACTTTCCATTATCAAACTGCCGATCATCTTCTATTCATAGAAAATTTTTATAAATGCCTTTTTTATAGAACGTGATCTAAATGGACTGTTGAAGTATACAGCGTAAGAATGTGGCTCTCCATTCCTCCCTCGTACAGCGTGCGTCTAGACGGACATTGGAGTAAAAATGAAAATTGTGCGTTTTCAAGGTTAAAATATAGGGAAATATAATCTATCTAATTGCATAAATAACTTTGTTACAACTCTCAAACAAACTGGAAAAATAGTTGCTCAGAAATTAGCTTACAAATCGTGATGTCACCAGGAAAGTCAATATCTGACCGAATCAAACTATTCGACAGACAAATCAAGTACATGTTCTAAATCTTCAAGCCGAGCTCTACAAAATGGCAGTTTTTTTAAATTGGCACATTTTACTTCTGAGCAAAAATACCATTCTTTTTCTAGTGTCGTCCAAACGGCTAGTTCCGTAAAATGAGCTATCCAATCATGTCTAACCTCCAAATTTTGTCAGAGTTTTCCTGTATCTACTGTCTCTAATATTTGTCAGCACAAACATTCTTGGACTTCACAGTAAGTTTCCAAAAAACCTAGGTTTTTTATGTATTCTTTAGTTTTTCTGGCTTTGGAAAAGTATTTCATCAACAAAAATAATGTATTCGGAGTCAACGCATTAAACTGTCTTGAATGACATATAACACAAAATAATTTCGGAAAAAAAACAATTTTCTCGAAAAAATGACGACTAGCCTTTTCTACAGACATTTTTCATCGAAAAACGTTTTTGCCTAAAAAGTGCTTTTTTCCTTAATAATGCTTTTCTGCATCATACTCAATCATTGCCGAACAAAGAAATTCGTTTCCGAACAAGAAAGTCACATGTTCGTCTGCCATGTGAAGAATACACACTGTGTCTCTCTGACAGACATTCTGGGAACCCATCACAGACCGTGATATGCGTTGTTGAAAAACAATCAAAGATCGTATATCGCTAACATCTCGTTCTAATATATGAACTACTTCCTTATTGCATTTCTCAAGAATTAAGTAGAAAGATAGTGAAGACACGTCTTCCAAAATAGATGAAAAAAGCAATCTTCCTGTGATTAACAAAATCAGACACGTCGTATTTCTCATTTCGACTCCATAGAGATTGCATTAACTGCTTGCTTTTATCGTTTTTATATTTTCTACATGACAGATAAGTGGAACAGTATGATATTCTTCTGGGTTTATGAAAATATTCTATTTAATAATTGAAAGACTATTTCTCTTGATATTCTTCTATTAGAAAAAAAATCCACTAGTTTTGATCCACTTGAAAATTTTCATTTTTTGCATATTATAATGACTTTATTTAGTGCCATATATTTTCTGAATAAAATTGACGAAGAATAAAAATCAATAGAAAATATTCATTATTTGTTAATCTATAAATTAGGTTATATAAAAATTTCTTTGAACATCAATATAACAAAATTGAATTCGTTTTCTTTAGACATGGACTTATTGTTACAACAACAACAAATAAATCAAAATTATTTACTTCATCTAATCAACCAACAGAATTAACACATCAAATTCAAGAAACAAATATAAATACAACAATTATTGATATATTAGAAAAATCATCTAATGATTGTCCTTTAATTGAAACATCTCTTAAAGAACGAATTGATAAATATTTTAATAAAAAAGATAATCAAACATTAATAATTAGTTCTGAAACAAAACAAAATCTAAATAAATTACAAAAAATAACAAATGATGTTAAATTATTAACAAAACAACTTCAATTATCAATAGAATTTAATAAAAATAATAATTCTTCAATTTCTATATTAGGTAAGTTAGTTTATTTTTTCTTTCTTATTCGTTTATTTTTTTATTGTAATAAAAGATAAACGTTTACTTGGTGAAATATGTTATCAACTTGAACGGCGTATATTAGTTATCATATTTTCTCAATCCAAACAATTCTATGGTTATTCACTTCGTTATTTATCATTAATAATTGAAAATGAATTCAATAAACATGATCATGTAATATATAAAAAACGTTTTCTAGAAATCGAAAAATATCTCTTAAAAACAAATTTTCATTTTAATTATCATTCAATAATAACATTTTATTATATAAATAAATATGGTATTTATTCCGATTATCAATGGTTAAATGCTTATTCAAATATTTTATCAAATATACATGATATAAAAACATTTTGTTATTCAATTTTATCGAAAAAATTTCATGAAGATTTTTCAATTATTATTAATAGTCTTGAATTAATATCAAATTTTGATCATAAACCATTATTCTATTGGTAATCGATTTTATTTCTTTGACATTATTGACATTATTCAATATGCATGTATTATTAGTACTAATAATAAAAGCAAATATCTTGAAATGATGAAGAAGAACAAGAACAGAATATTTCATCTGATTGTCTTAGTTCGGGAGAAGAACATGAAATTTATTCATTGCTTTTTTTCTTTGTTCCGCGATGCCGGAAAAGATAGATAGAGAGAGAGAGAGAGAGAGAGAGAGAGAGGGAGGGAGGGAGGAAAAAATGCGAAGATAGATAAATATTAATACTATCACATAGTTGCTGCTCGAGCAAGCGAAAGCAACTGTCTTCATCATTATCATTATATTTTTTCTCGTGCTCATCATTGTGTAACTATGCAATATGCATTACGGAATAAGAATAATATATTTTATTTTATTTCAATATGTCAATACAATACGAAATCCATTACTTGTTCATATTGCAGGTATGATGAAAGTAATTTGCAGTAGATAAATAAATACAATTCAAATTAAAGTCAAATACATTTTTTTTTCTGTTCATGATATCATTTATTGATTTGTAAGAAATAAATGAAGAATATATAAATAAGATTTTGTTTTGATTTCTAATTTCTATTTTCTTTTTTCATTACATCTTATTGATTTTTCTTTTTAACAAAAATATATTTGATACAAACAATTAATACATTTAATGATTATTAATTATTAAATACGAATTTTTAGTGTCGGTTTGAGAAATTATTTGTTTAACTATCTTTCTCATACGATCGGCGATAATATTATCAAGCATACGAAATACCAGCCGATTATAAGGATTTCTCTTTCGAATACCTTAATGATGAAGTAAAGTTTAATAAGTCTAATACAATATATTTTTGTTAAGCAAGAGAACTGCTGTATTCAAACATCTTATAAATGAATATTAATAATCATCGATATGTTTACTCATTACTGATTAGAGTCTGTCGGATCCAAAACGTACGGACCCGGATCCAGTTTATCGAATGTTTTCGAAGCCCAAACCTGACTTATTGAACATCTTCGGGACCACAGCTCGAGTCCAGTTTATTGAACATTTTTGGATCCCGGTTCTGGATCCAATTAATTGAAGGTTTCTAGAACCTGAACTCGGACCCGACTTATTGAACGTTTGTGGAACCCGAATTTGAACTCGATTGAACTGTACTTTGATACTCTCAATGAAATTTCCTAATCCGATTGGATCGCCACCTTGAAGATATGCGATGCTTTTTTCCGGTTTTTTTACATTCGATGACAAGCGTACTCTGTACATTTCTCAGATGATTAAAGCTGATCGGGTCCAAAATTCGAAGATCCGAACTCAATGGGCTCTATTACTGATAGAAATCTTTTGTTAACATCTCTCTTAATCAATTACGAACATTCTCTTTCAATATAAAACTGCTGAGTTTTGCGTTTTTCTCTCTCTTTTGAACCTAAATTGAAATTTTTTTGTCAAGCACATCACTTGAACTTAGAACAACAAGGTCGTGCAAGTGCAACTGAACCATATATCTATCGACATCGTTTAATAACACGATCAACAACAACACCATCGATAACAATAAATAATTATGATTTCTATTCAACATCAACATTAACATCATTTCTGAATTATTATCAACCATCACCAACATTTATTAATGAATATATATCATCAAATCAAACAGAAAATATATGTCCAAGACAAAAAAATGTTCATAGAAATTGTCAACGTTCATGTCATGGAATAAATCAAAATACAAATTGTCGTCAACAAAAAATTTGTATATGTGATCATAATTGTGGATTTTCTTGTCTTTCAAGAAGTAATAAAAGAATCATTAAAAAAAAAAAACCAAAATTTTCTTTGTCTTTTTTTAAAAGAAAAATTGTTTTTCATTTAGCTATTATAACTGAACGATATCTTTGTCCAATACTAAATAATCCAGCACATGGTCGAATAAATTATGATGGTCATTCATTTTATAGTCGTCTTGTTTATGAATGTAATCCAGGTTATACAGTTGTTGGACCTAAAGAACGTATTTGTGTTAGTGATGGTTTTTGGGAACCAGTTGTTGATGTTTATTGTATACGTAAAGGTAAATACATCAAATTGAAAATATGAAAAATAATTTTCTTGTGTTTTTTGTTTTATTTATTAGATGAAGTTTGTATAATGGATAATTTAATAATAAATGGTGATTATACACCAAAACAACAAGTCTATTATCCTGATCAACAAATACGTATTGAATGTAATCTTGGTTATGAACTTGATCGATTATCTCATGTACAAACGTGTTTAAAAAATGGAACATGGTCACCATTAGAAACTCCAAGATGTTTAAGTAAGAAAAGAAAATTATATCAATAGATATTAAATAAGACCAAGAATAATATATATATATATATATGTTAATTATTTCATTTTTCAGAATCTCCATGTGGTGAACCACCATCAATACCAAATGCATATGTTGTTAATACTACATCAACTTATGCACAATATTCTTGTTTTGAACGATATATATTAAAAGATTCAATATCAAAAATTGAATGTAAACATGGTCGGTGGCAAAATATTCGACCACAATGTATTGAAGCAATGTGTCGACATCCAATATTAGATGGTTTTAATGGTTATGTTTTAAGTTCACGTTCAATATTTCCATCTGGTGAAGGTACAGGTCTGACATGTAATAGTAGTACTAGTGCACATTTTGATCTTATTCCAATGATTGATTATATCGTATGTGATAATCATGGCATATGGAAACCAATATTACCAAAATGTTATGGTAGATTTTATTTATTGCTTAATAAGATTCTTTGTTTTTGGATGTTTTTATTTTTTATTTTAGCAAAATGTCGTTTACCGAATTTAGGAAAAAATTTAATTGGTTATTATTTAGATGATAATACTAATGAATGGTATGGAAAAGAATTACAATCAGGTGCCTATATTCGACATGGTTATTCAGTTAAATATTTATGTCATTGTCAATCGACACCAATGCAAAATTGTTCATTCATGAAACCATCATCTGTTCAATGTAATGATGGTGAATGGACCAATGGTGGTCCTTATTGTCGAGAAAGTATGTCTTCTGGTTTTTTTTTTTATCTATTTTATTTTCTTATTTATATTAATTCTCTTATAAACAAAAGAAGTTTCTGGGAAGTGTCAAATTCCATTTGATATTCCATATGTATTATTGAATAACAATACAGAATTAAAAAATATAATAAACGACGGAGAATCATTTGATTATGATTGTATTCATGGTTATGCACGCATGACCAATGTGACATGCATACAAGGATATCTAACACCACAACCATTATGTGAACCAAGTAGATATTAAATTTAAATTTAAAACATAAGCTATGTTTTTTCATTGGTTTTGATAGAAAATTGTACAACTCATCCTTATTGGATTAAGAACGGATATGTTAAATATCATAATAGACGACATGGTGGTCATGCTGAATATTCAGTAAAGAATGAAAATAAATCTTTAGAATTTCGAAATGATTAAATCGAAACATTTCTTTTTTATTATTTTGTATTGTTGTCTAGTGTCGTAATGGTTATAAATTAAGTAATCAACGGATTCTACGATGCTTATTTGGTCGATGGGAATCACCTTATGATCGAGATAATCTTGTACAATGTATTGCAGGTAAATAAAAGAAAAGCGTTTATTTTAATTTTAAAATTTTTCATTTAGATATTTGTTTACATCCAGGTGTTATTCGTAATGGAAAAACTTTTGTTGTTAATTATGGTACATCACGTTATATACTTTCAGCTAATGTTTCATTAAGTCATGGAGCTTCATTACAATTTGAATGTGAACCTGGTTTGTTAGATTTTCATTCTTATTTTTTGATTAATAGTTTATTGATAACTTTAGGTTTTATGCTTGTTGGTAATCGTGGTTCGACCTGTTTTTCAGGCAAATGGCGACCTGATCAGTTACCAATATGTATTCAGGGTATTTTACTTTTCTATATATATATTCTTTGTTTTGAATATACTTCAATCATTTAGATCGACATGTGTCCTTGCAACATACATTACACAAGTTTGTCAGCAAAGGATGATCATGTAAACAGTACTCTTGTTCGACGTTCTTTTCTTTTCATTGTTTTTTTTGTAATCATAACGTTGTCCTTCAAAACTTATGTTGAACAGTTGACGCTCACATGTACGTCATCATATAATATATATGTGTGTATGTATATGTCTTTTATGTCATGAAAGATGAAAAAAAATTCAAGAAAAGAACAAATTTTTCGGTACTATAATTATAAGAAGGATAGAAAATTTTTGCTTTGATGATTCAAAATATAAAATCATTATGGTTCAAGCATAGTAGAATATTATTGTGTAATACAGATGAACAACATTGATACAAGTAAAGTTGTCGTTTTTATATTCTTATGACTGCACTCGACAAGTATACTAAGCTTCCGGACTCAATTGTATTCAAAAAAGAAAACTCTTCTCGCATCATAGCACGTTTGAATACTTGATGCCAACAGCTACAATGTTTTATATATGTTTGTCTTGTGTTAAGCAACTTCTTTCTTGACCAGTTGTCGCATTCGTATAGTAGTCCCCGAACAGTCGTATATATGTATTGCTCAATGTTATCACGAGTTGTTCTTTTCTTTTTTTTTGCTCATCTCTAAAGATTTGTTCACAGGCGATTCTTTGTCCTTTTTTTATGTATATTTTAGTAAGACATTTGTTTCCTTATTCTCTTACGAATGATGTGTGATGATGCAAGTTTAAAATATATCATTCATCAACTATGCATTTCTTATCGGATTGTATGTACAAAGCAATGTAAAAGATTGTAATTCAACGCGAAAGACAACCGTCGACTTTTCGACTCATCATGCGCTCATACGTGGTCAGCGTTTTTCTTTTTCTTTTTGGTATTGTTGATCTATTGTAAACATATATCCAAAGTTATAAGTATAGATTTATAAAAGAAAAAAAAAAAGAAGAAGAATCCAAATATTCTTTTTCTTTTATATGAGCCTTTTTTTCTTCTTCCGTATGTATTGTATAAAAAGAGACGGATGTAGTTTCTGGTATGTACGTTATTCTTTTAATGTATAAATTGGAATTGTTCTCTTTACTCAACACATGGGTACTCCTAACTAAACATACTGGCTTCTCTTTCTCTTTCATTTCTCTCTCTCTCTTTCTCTTTTTCGTTTTTATGCACATACATATATGTGAATATGCTGAACAATTATGATATAGGTATGACAGGTGATGGTATATGTAAAGTAAGTTTATATACATAAGATTATATTATTTGAAATAATTTCTATCAAGAAGTTTTTTGTTTTTTTATATTATTTCTTTCGTAATCATTTGTCTTGTTTAACTAATCACTATTCTTTGCTTTAAGCAGATACAATCGTCATTTGTTATATAGAATTCGTTTATGTTCAATAGTTTTTGTTTTTCTTACAATTTCTACAACATAAATATATATATATCAATCGGCAAGGACATAACACAGATGTACACAAAATGGTCAAGCAGAAGAACAAATGACCATTAGTTTTCTTATATATATATATGTTGTAGTTGCTGTCTTGTTCTTATTGTTTGATATTATGTCATAGATTTGTACTAAATATGTAAGATATATTTGATATCATGCTTGTTTTTTTTTTGTCAAATAACACGTACAGAAAGTAGAGATTAAAAGTATGAACATGGTATTAAGATATTTTAATTATATCATCTTAAGAATAAGTATAATAAAATCGTTCAGTGAAAAAAAAAATAACTAACATTTTAGATGATCTGATTTGATGATCATGATGAAAACAAGAACAATAGATATGTGCTCTTATTATCAACGATTCTTCTTAGTAATTTTATTGTTTCTATGGGAATTGACAAGTTACTGTCAAGGTATTGTAGAGTTTTTTTTTCTTCTTATCTTTTCAAGGAGTTCAGGTTAGAATAATAAAAATACTAAGAGTGTTAACTTCATTTAACATGTAGGTATCAACTGAAGTGATTTAGTGGCAATCAACGTTTGTTTTCATTGAGTGAATGAATGTAAAAGCAAGGTCAATGTGGAATAGAGAGCATTTGAAAATGAGTCGAAAAAAAATTGAACTAATGTTATTTTTAATGCTATGATAAAATGAAGTTTATTGAAACCTTTTTGGTTTTTTTCTCATATTATTTAAGGTTATTGGATTCGTGATCTTTCATATTGTCCACGTAAACGTGAGGCAACTCGACAAAGACAATGTTTTAAATCATGTTTTGATGATAGTGATTGTCGTAGTCGATATCGTTCATGTGTATGTGATTATGATTGTGGAATGTCATGTGTTAAACGAGGTGAATCCTTTTTGTTTTTCTTAAAATGTTGTTTCTTTTTTTTTCATGAATCTATTGTATTTTGAAATATAGGTATTAGTTGTCCATTTTTAACAGCTCCAGAAAATGGTCGTATAACATATTCAAATGGAAATAAATTTGGTTCACGTGCTACATATGAATGTAATACGGGTTATGTACTTGAAGGTTCAAAATTTCGTCATTGTCAAGGTGATATGTGGTGGGGACCATCAGATACAGTACCATATTGTGCTAAAGAAGGTAGTATTAATTGAATCTTGAAGTTAAAAAGATGCGATACGACATTATTAATTAATGAATAAACTTCATCAAGAGTCAAGTTGATGACCTTCTAATTATTCATATAGTCTCGATTGTTGAATCTGATTCGGCTTTCTTTTCCTTTTCTTTGTACATACATATATATATACATGTATATATACATACATTAAAGTTCAAGAGGATTGCGTGCATGTATATGAGTATGAAGATAAGTATAAGACATTGTTGTCATCATATTATACATATAGAAGTCTAGACCTGTTATACTGTTGTTCAATGAATTGAAGAAAATTATGACATGATTAGGGAGTAACATACTGTGTATTTGATTTGATGAATTAATTTTCTTCATGTTTCTTTTTATTAGTTTTTTGTAATCGACCACCGGATATAACATATGCGGTCAATGATGTTCCGAGTACGATTACAACATTTCATGCAGGTTATTCAGTTAAATATACGTGTTTAGTTGGTTATGTTGGGTAAGATTAAGAGAAATTGAAGAAAATATTTTTATTGTTTTAAATAATTTATATAGAACTGGTACAACAACATCTGAATGTACATTTTTGGGTCAATGGACATATGCAACATTAAAATGTACACGTAAGTAATTAATTTCTTTTTTGTTGATTATTATTAATTTTGAAAATATAATAGCAATTGATTGTGGTTCACCGGGTATATTACGTAATGGATTTTTAAGTGGTGAACGCTTTGATTATCCGAATATTGTTGCATTTTTTTGTAATGATGGGTTTGAACTTATTGGAAAAGATACAACACGAGCTTGTCAAGAAAATGGTTTATGGTCTGGAACTATGCCTACTTGTCAAAGTAAATAAAAGAAATATTTGATCTAAACTTTTGACTACTCTATGCTTAGTAATCATTGATTATTTGTTTCGATCGAATAGGAATAGATGAAAAGAATCAAGTAATATATCATAAATAAACGATATTGTATTTTTCAAAGAGAAAGTATTGATTATAGAACTTAAAAAGATTGCAGATTCGATGAATAGAAATAAGTATCTCAGATTAAGCTGTTTTCGATTTCGGTCAATAAACTATGTTCAATACGGTATGATGCATTTCTAATTATGAAATGTAAATCAGGCAATAGATTAAATGAAGCTATGATGATATGTCCAAAAGAAAAAACAAGTTCTCAAAAATTAACATACATTTTTCGCTTCTATCATCTCTACAATAATGAAACTTCGAATTTACTTTTTTGAAAAAAGATCGATTGGAATAAATCTTAATTTTTATGAAAGCATGACAAAGAAATGAAGACTGAAACTTGTAAAACTAAATTTTCTCGAGATCGGATTTCTATATTTAAGTAGAACAGCCTGAGCTTTAGTTACTCATCTTAACACCGTATAGAAATTCTTCCGATTCTTTCGAGCAATATTTGATAAAGAAACTAATATCTATTGATTCTAATGTCTTCTAGAAAAATCATGCAGGGCACCTCCGATAGTCACTCATGGTGAAATAATTCAACCAGATCGAACAACAAATGAAACTATTCAATATATTTGTCAAGATGGATATCAATTACAAGGTCCATCGATATTAAAATGTGTTTCATCTCAATGGCAACCAACATCACCAACATGTGAACGTTAGTTGTTATTTGTTTTCGAATTTTTTTTCTCTATTTCAAATTTCAAATTTGTAGCAATAACATGTGATGATCCTCAAACATATTTTAATGGTTATATTGAATCATTATCAATTAATAGTTCATCAAAATATCTCGTGAATTCCATTATTACATTTCAATGTTCATCAAATTTAACATTACAAGGTTCACGTATATCAAAATGTCAAATAAATGGAAGTTGGTTACCAAAAATTCCAAAATGTGAAAGTTCGTTTTCCATTGTTTTTACTATACAATGTTTTCTTCATATTTTCTTTATTCATAGAACCAATATCTTGTTCAATCCCATCGTTACCACAAAATGCACGTTATATACATCTTCGTCCATATATACAAAAAATTCATGATGGAAATCATTTAGAATATATATGTGAAAATTCTCAATATCGTCAACAAATTTTTTGTCGACAAGGAAAAATTTTACCACAAAATCCAATATGTTATAATGGTAAAATATAAAATCATTTAACAAAAAAAACAAAGTTATATTTTTCTTCTTGTCTAGGTTGTCATGTAAATAATGATAAAATCAAATTTTCAAAAACATTTTATCGTCATCGTGAAAAAATTTCTTATACATGTTCAAATAATAGTTTACCATTATTAATTAATGAAACAATACGTTGTATTGATGGAACTCTTTCAAAACCACCTATATGTCAACCAAGTAAATTTCAAAATCAATTCTAAAAGAACTTTTTTTTTTTTTCTTTTATTTAATTTTATTTCAGTTAAATGTACTGTACCTCATATGCTTTTTGTACGTAATATTATCAATACGACAATATCATCGGGTACATTATTTGAACAAGGTTCATCATTTTTCTATACATGTCTGGAAGATTATCAACCAATGATTGAATCAAGCAGAGTTGAATGTTTAGAAGACGGAAAATTATCTCATCAACCACATTGTGTACCAAGACAATGTAAAGAACATCCACCGATAATAACAAATGGTCGAACTATATATCATTCAACAAAACATGGTTCTATAGCAAAATATCGTTGTTTTCCAGGTTATAGAATTGAAAATAATCATTTAGCAAAATTAACATGTCAATTTGGACAATGGTTACCTAAACAACCACCAAAATGTTTACCAAGTAATAAAAGTTTTTTTTTGTGGAAGTCATGTATATTTTTTGCGTCTTTCTTCCTAGGCCTCAGAAATCGTAAGTGGAAGAAAGAGGAAAGCCAAAAGTCATTGAGTACATTTTCATAGCAATGGAAAAATATGTGTTAGTAAGAGAAATGCTTGCGGGGAAGGATATNCATTTAATTGATTGACAAATAAGTGTATTTTACATATCTATGATATCTACAGCAGACCTTGTACACTATCATATATATTAATCAAGTCACAAATAATGATATTAATTATTTTTCAAAATGATAACTTGATCAATTTTCCAAAAAAAAACTCGAAAAAATTTAACATCTTTTATTATTGATTGTTAAGGTCTGTAATGGGGTGGGCGGGGGAGGGGAGGGGATAGCCCTGAAAACTCGAACTTAAAACTTACACTCACTATTTTCTTCGAAAATATATGTGAGTTCCACAAAATACAAAATAATGTAGAAAAAATACAAGTTGTAATTGAATGTATTACGAATTTTGATTAATATTCAAGAATAAATGACAACCAATCAGTAAATGTATGGCATAGCAAAACAACAATAAAATAATGTTGAGAGAATTTTGTATCATATGTTAGAAGGTTGCTTTTGGAATTTTTTCTTAAGCGCAACCATCTTTTGCAAAGTGATATAGTTCAAACAGAGTCCAGTGGCTAATCATAACCTTGATTCTATTTCCACAATCATAACATTAAAAAGTTTTGTTAACATACTTTTTCTTGAATCATGTAGTTCTCATAATAAATAAAATTCAAGATTTAATTAGTGTTATATATTTTCCTCTTGTCTAGAAATTTAGTTTCAAAATTTTTATTTTTTTTTAGAAAAGTTATTTTCAACAAAATGCTTTCTTTTTTTGTTTTAGTCTTCTGTACTAATCCAGGTCCACTTGTAAACGGTCGAATTTATGTTGTTTTAAAAGATCAACGCATGTCATCTTTGCCAATTCGTAGTGAATTTCGTACGTATATACCGAATGTCGGGCATGGTAGAACACTTGAATTTGAATGCAATCCAGGTATGTTATTCTATGAGTGTTATTTATATTGGCAATTCTCTATTTTGAGGTTACATTCTTCATGGCCCATCTGGCTTAACATGTAATCATGGTCGATGGATGCCTTCAGAACGCCCTCGTTGTATTTTTGGTACACTTGACTTTTTACATCTAATGTTATTTTCATGTTTTTTGATATTTAGAAAATCATATACAACCAAATATAATCTTTACAGGTTAATGAATTGTATGGATGAATGAATTTTTTATTTCAATGAAGCTGGTCTTCATGTTTATCGCTTAGCAGCTGCTTCTCAGTATATGAAGAATAAAACATAGATTTGTTCTATTAGAAAAAAAAAAATTGTGTTTGTTTCATGTGTGAATGATGATTTCTTTTCTTTTGTTTATTATGTTTAAAGTTATTCAATAAAATATTGATCAGTCAACTTTATTACAATTGTATAATAAAGTTTAATATCTTCAAGTTTAGATATTATAAGTACATTCAAATAATTCATTTCATAGGATTACACTTATCTTTATGTCCTTGAACTTGTTGTATATTCTTACCCAAAAGTGACAACGTCATAAAGTAACTTCTATACTTCAAAAAGTGCTTGATTATGTGTAATGAAGCAAAGATCTTGTTGTTTTCTGTATGCTCTCACATACAAATACAATAAAATATTATTGTTGTTTGTGAAATAAAAAAGAAATGATCTTGATGAATAAAGTCTTTATTGAGTTATTTATTGTCATATTGATGAGATGATTGTGACGAAAAAAAATAACATGTAAAATCTATAAAGAATCAATAACACCATTAGTAAACATTGAAAAACAGTAAAAATCGAAAGTTTTATCATAAGGTGAGAAGTTAATTATACAATGCTATTGACAATATATATAAATAAGCAAATAAAATCGCAAAATAATACTTTTATAATTATAACATTATACACACTTCGGCATACTATAAGCTATTTCGTTGTTTTGTTTATTTATTATTCTCATCAAAATGTGTCACCTCTTTTTGTTTTATGTAGACGCTAAATACCGAAATAAAAATAGCATGCGTAGGTGTTAAATGAAGCAATTATTTTAGTTGAATGATAGGATATATTAGGATATACGATGCACATAAATGACGACGTCAGTTTTTTGTTTTAATAAGTACGAAAAAAACATTTCTATCAATATCAAATACAAAAACGTAAAAACAAGTTCAAACATTTTATGATCGAGGTCGATGTCGAATTTTTATGATTTGCTAAAGTAAAACTACAATTGTACATATCTCTTGGAAAAAACAACTCAATAATAAAGAATTGACCCAAGTTCAAGTAATAAAAAATTCCAAAAACACAATAAATATCAAGGTACACATGACATTAATTTGCCTTTTTCATAAAAAAAAAGATTTATGTTCGCCGTATGGGTGTATAACTACCAAATGTCCAACGCGTGATCATAATAACAGCAGTCACCAAATAATAGCAAAAAAAAAAAAACAAGAGAAAAGAACGCAAAATCATTTTTTTATCCTTCTCTAACGAAGGGAGACCGGCACCTATTTATCATATATAAACCGTAGAGATAAAGCAGAAAAAAACTGCACACATACATAACATTTCAATTTGGTTCTACTACACCGCAACATTATCAGTATAATGAATCCAATACTCACAAATACGAGTGCTATGGACAAAGCTGTTCTTCGCAGATATTTGGATTTACCACAGCCAGATAATAAAGTCATGGCTACCTATATTTGGATTGATGGTAGTGGAGAGAATCTTCGAGGTAATAGATTATTCTAGATCACCATAACCCATTTTCTAATTGATGTTGTTCTTTTCTATTCTTTAGCTAAAACTCGAACACTTGATGAAGAACCAAAGTCACCAGAAGAAATACCTTGGTGGAATTTCGACGGTTCATCAACCGGACAAGCTGAAGGTTCAAATTCAGATGTCTATCTTAAACCGGTAGCTATCTTTAAAGATCCATTTATGCTCGGTCAAAATAAATTAGTTATGTGTGAAACATACAAATATAATAAAGAACCAACAGGTAAGAAATAAAACATTTTCATGTAATCTTGTCAATTTGATTTCGTCTTTTTATTGTGTTAAGCTACAAACCAACGAATAGATTGTGTTGATGCAATGAAAGCTGCACATGATCAACATCCATGGTTTGGTATTGAACAAGAATATACACTTCTAGATCGTGATGGATGGCCATTTGGATGGCCAAAAGGTGGATTTCCACATCCACAAGGTTAGGAAAAAGAAAAAACCAACAACACACGCAGGCAACAGATGACATAAATTTCTTTTTCGTACTTTTTTAAGGACCTTATTATTGTGGTGTTGGTGCAACTCAAGCACTCGGTCGTGATGTTGTTGAAGCACATTACAAAGCATGTTTATATTGTGGAATTACTATAAGTGGTACTAATGCTGAAGTAATGCCTGCTCAATGGGAATATCAAGTTGGTCCATGTGAAGGCATTGATGCTGCTGATCAACTTTGGATATCACGTTATTTATTATTACGTATTGCTGAAGAATTTGGTGTACAAGTTAGTTTTAATCCAAAACCAATTCCAGGTGATTGGAATGGTGCTGGATGTCATACTAATTTTTCAACTTCAGCTATGCGTGAACCTAATGGCATTGAGTATGTGTAGTTTAATTATAAATTTTTATGTTTATAAAGAATAATTTCATTATTTATAGAGCAATTGATGAAGCTATTACAAAACTTAAAGCTCGTCATAAGTCACATATCGCTGTATATGGTAAAGGAAATGAACGACGATTAACTGGACGACATGAAACAGCAAGTGTAAGTTTAAAGAAACAAAATCTATCTTAGACATATGTCTCTATCGAAATAATTGTATTATTTAGATCAATCAATTTAATGCTGGTATTGCAAATCGTGGTGCATCAATTCGAATACCTCGTCAAGTTGGTGAAGACAAATGTGGTTATTTAGAAGATCGTCGTCCAGCATCGAATTGTGATCCATATGCTGTTACAGATATTATTATTCGTACTGTATGTCTTAATGAAAAAGATCCACAAGGAGAACAAACATTACTTGCGCGATAGTCAACATCGGAAAAAGATTGAAGAAATGTATGTACGCGTTAGGAACATTCCATGATGCTTGTATTTATATAAATCAGTTAGTTAACAGTGATATATCAGTAGAGTGTATGTTTATCTGTATTGATATGTTGTCTCTTTGTGTTCGATAATTTTCTCTTTTTTGTTAAAAGATCAAATTTGTATTAGTTTTTTTTTTTTGTTTTTTGTATAATCTTGCATCTATTAAAAAAAACACATGCTTTGTTGTCTATTTCTCTTTTTTCTTATGTGAAAAAATAGAAAAGTTATAAAAGTTATTTTGAGTGCAAAGCCTGATTCAAAATCAATGACAGAAAACAACATATGTTACCATTTATTTTTATATGTAAATCTTTTACAGTAACCAAAATCGAACGTTATTTTCAGAAATAAATATTCGAAACAATCGGATATGCCCTTCTTGTCTGCAAAAAAAAAAAGAATCATTTAGTACTCTTGCTAGTAATCACAGTGTCACGTGTCTTTTATAAAGGTAGTAGCATTTATAGTTTATTTCCTTTGATGACGATAAGGTCAGCTATGAAACTTACAGACAAATTATAAGAATCTCCTAACAAAATCCTATTATTTATTAAGTATTGGTCTACCACTCATCTTAATCGACTAAAAAGTTTTATGTTTCTGATACAATATAAAAGAAAAAAAGTAATAAATTTTCATATAATCAATATGTTATCGATGAATCATTATTATTGTTCGGTTTTGTTGTTTCATTCATTTTCTTTCCTTATTCTATCCGCAAATTATATATATCATGATCATTATTATCTAAATTTTAAACGCTATTATTATTTTTTACACGAGCTACTTCAATAAGACTTGAATGGGAGCTAGAAATTAATAAAACAATCGATATGAATAGTTATCAATTACTGTAACAATTTATTCAAAAAGTATCCTGTTGATGAAGACAGGAAACAAATTCCGACTTTATAGTTAATACTAAATGAAACAAATACATACATACAATGATAATATATGGATTAAAAAAAAACATCAAACAATAATGTGTACACAAAATATTTTCTTATCAAAAACATAAAGTCAAACTTCAATAGAATGCAAAAATTCACTGTACAATCTACTTCAAAAATAAGACTTATTTATGTGCATATAAAGTTCTACACTTTCTAATGAAAATTTGTTAGCGATACACATTACCTTTTCATACGTGTATATATTTTTTTCTTCAAATATGCTACCTTATTTTTTCTCATTTTGAAAAGATATAGAATCTAATTATAAACTGTATGTCAATTTCTACAAGTTTCAAGGTCCATACCAGTGCTTTTTTAGATACACTATAGTTTAGCAAATAATTGAAATTTGTTCTCTCAAACTCGATGGATTTCTGTCGAATGTTTTCTATTTAGCCAATATTATTTCACAGGTATATTTTTTCTTTATGAGAGTTTTATTGAAATATGTAGTCATTACTTAATCATAGCACCACAATCAGAATCAAATAAAATATTATTTACAACATCAAACACGCAAATCATATGAAAAAATTCATAGAAAAAAAATTATATATATTCTCCGCTTATTGTTCCTGTTAATTGACAATGATTATCTCCTTTGTCTCGCTTAAATCGCCTGTCTCATGTATCATTCTCAAAATATTAAGAGAAACATGTTTCAAATATTTTTGACATTTTTCATTCAACTCAAAATTCATTCTTTCAATTCTGTTTCTGCTTTGTTTTTCTTCTGATTAAATAATACATGAAGCCATATGTCGATCATGCACAGTACGAATGCTTCATAATAAACGTTGTAAGAAACAATATAAAAAATGAATAGAGGAACCTACATATGGGTACGAATAATGTATAGTCTGAAAACCAAAAATATCGTATTAAATAGAAAGTTTTTCACCAATGTGAACATGAATATTCGAAACTTATCCTGTGATCATTATATCAAATATTTCTCAACATACTTCTAATTATAAAATTTCGAATTTGATACAATATTAAAAACACCTACAACGAGTGCTTAATATTTTCATTTCTTCTTCCTCTGTTTTTTTTGCATATACATGTAGGAATTTTCAAGTATTGCTACGTAGGTTTTATACAAAAATAATTGTATGTGCTCACATGCGAAAATGTCAAGAGTGTACATGCACCAACTAACATCACTATGAATGTAACTATAGTACAGTGTTCAATGGTTTTACATGCATTTACTGTCATAACAATAGTCTGTCTGTCATGGCTACGAATGACTGAGAGTGTCGATATTAACTATACATTTAGCGGTCATAAATAAAGTTGTTTTGACTAAAAAAGGTTTTTAATCGTTATTTAAAACTACTGCGGCTTGTGAAAAAAGGAACAAATGCTTATGTATAGATTGATAAGTCACAAGAAATTCGCCTAGTTAATAGATCGTCACAGGTCAATATAACCTTTATCAATTGTCGTTATGATTGATACTGCATAGCTGCATTTCAAGCTGATCATCAAGAATCATGATCACCAAATCGATTACTATAGTGGAACTTTGATGGTTCAATAATTGAATGAGCAGAAGGTTCAGATTTAGATATCTACCTTAAAGGAGGTCCCCCATTTTCCATAGGCTATTCCCCCCCCCGCTAGTTTTTTTTTCTTTTAAATATTTTTTAGTTGGGACTCATGTGAGGATATTAGATCAATCAATCAAATCTTGGACATTTCTAGTTTTGGCGAAAAAA